CACCTCTTGCGCGGCAGCTCAGAGCTCAGAGTTTCGAAGATGTCTCAGGCGAAATGGGCCAGACCAACTCGCGCGCGGCATCTCGGAGCTCAGAGTTTGGAAGACGTCTCAGACGAAACGACCCCGACCACCTGTCGCGCGGCATCTCGGAATGCAAAAAGGCGAGGATGTCTCAAGTGAAACGGACCAGATCACCTCTTGGGCGGCATCTCGGGGCTCAGAGTTTGGAGGATGTCTCAAGCGAAACGGTCCGGACCAAGAGCGCAGAGTTGCAAGGATGTCTCAGGCAAAAAGGGCCGGACCACCTCGCGCACGGCATATCAGGGCTTTGAGTTTGGAGGATGTCTTAGGCGAAACGGGCCGGACCACCTCTTGCGCGGCATCTCGGAGCCAAGAGTTTCGATCATGTCTCAGGCGAAATGTACTGGACCACCTCTTGTGCGGCATCTCAGAACTCAGAGCTGCGAGAGTGTCTCAGGCGAAACGCGCCAGACCACCTCGCGCACGGCATCTCAGAGCTCAGAGTTTGGAGGATGTCTAAGGCGATACGGACCACGGACCAGACCATCTCTCGCGCGGCATCTGGGGGCTCAGAGTTTGGAGGATGTCTCAGGCGAAACGGGCCGGACCACCTCTTGGGCGGCATCTGGGAGCTTAGAGTTTCGAGGATGTCTCAGGCGAAACGGGCCGGACCACCTTTTGCGCGGTATTTGGGAACTCAAAGTTTGGAGGATGTCTCACACGAAACGCCCAATCCCGTACAACTCAGAAACGAGAGGTGCGAGGATGTCTCAGGCGAAACGGCCGGGACCACCAACTTTTTTGAAGACGTCTCTGCTTTGAGTTCCTTCGGCTGGGGTTCGCTTCTATCACAACAGCACCCCGTTCAGCAAGCTGTTTGGGGAATAAACCACGACTGGGCGTCGTTTGCCATGGGCGGATGCATTGCAGCTTTTTGCGTGTGTGTTTTCCTTTCTCCTTCCTCCATCCTTCTCCTCCTCCTCCTCCTTGCGCTGGCTCGCGCAGCTCCGGGTTGCGAGCTAAGCGGTCGCGCTATGCCCAACGCCCGACCGGATCCAGACATACGGGTCTTCAATAACGTACTCCCTGCTGCACGGATGCTGCAAGGACAAGTGTCCTCATAAGCACCGTTTTTGTGTCTGTTGTGGTCGGCGTTCTGGGCCATCGAGTGGCGCAGCGTAGCCCGGTGCACCCTGCTCTGTCGACGGGATGGGCGCGGAAAGTTGCCGATTAGATCCCCCGTTGGTGTGGCAATTGGTGTTTCGACGTTCATGGGATGTGCGCGCCCTCTCTCATTCTCCTTCCCTCAAACAGAAATCCTAACATCGATATCTCCGCGAACAACTTGTTTCCCCGCCCGGATTCCGAATTTTAGTATCCCCCGGAGACAGCATGGGATTACGCTTTTCACGTGGCTATCGGTTCTGAGCGAAGGCGGGGGTCCTTGACATTAGACGCCCCCCCCTCCCTCGGTCGGAGCCCGACAATTCGCCTCTTGGAGACTTCTCGAGACTCTCCCGAGGCGCTTCTGATTCCCTCTTGAGGCTCTCTTGGGCGAATTGGAACCACCCTGGAGATTTCCGAGGCCCATTGGAAGCGAAAGGGCGAGAAGCCCCCCCTTTTCCCAACCACGCACACACACACATACACACCCACACCCACACACCTATCCACCCACCCACCCATACACACATTGACATACAGAGACACGCAGTCAGACAGACAGACAGACAGACAGACAAACAGACAGACAGACATATTGACATGCCGACAGACACACAGACACATACACAGACAGACAGGCAGACAGACAGACAGACAGATAGGCAGACAGAGACAGACAGACAGACAGACTCACACACACCCACACACACTTTGGAGCGGTAGCGGCCTCGTGCGCGGCGACGGGGCGGAGTAAGCGCAAGCAATCGGGCGGGCGCGCGGGACCGGGCCCTCAGGCGCGCACACACACACACACACCCACACACACACACACCAACACACACACACACCCACACCAGCACACACACACACACACACACACGCACCTACCCCCACACAAACACACACACACACACACACGCACACGCACCCGTACACGCACACGCACGCGCACACGCACACGCACACGCACACGCACATGCGCACGCACGCACATTCACTCACCCACGCACGAACGCACACGCACTCACGAACGCACTCACGCACACGCACACACACAACACACAACGCACAACACATAATACACAACACACACAACACACAACACACAGAGAGCACACACACACACACGCACAACCTTTTGAGCGGTAGCGGCCTCGCTCGCGGCGACGAGGCGATGTGCGACTCACATTTACACACACACACACACACACACTCGTATACGCACACACACACACGCGCACACACACACACACGAACACCCAAACACACAAACACACGCAAACGCACACACGCACACACGCAAGTACACACAAGCACACAAGCACACAAGCATGCAAGCACACAGGCACACACACACACGCTCCTGGTGTCTTGAAGCATTTTGATATATTGGGGGTCTTCTTTGGGTGCTGCGTGGCGATCTGAAGCAGTCGGGGCAAGGAATTGTGGCTTTTTGGAAGCATGTTGGGAAATCGTCTCTGAGCCGTCTTGGGCTAGCTTGGGCCATCTTGGAGGCCAGCTTGAGCTATCTGGAGCCCTCTTGGAGCCATCTGGGGCCAGAAAGGCCTCTCTGATACCTCTCGGTGCCATTTGCCCAGATTTGGGGAGGGGGGGGGGAGGTAGATCCCTCCCCGAAGAGGAATCAGGAAGTTGGAGCAATAACTTCGTGAAGCCACCTGCGCTCAGAGGGCTGGTGGGATTGCTGCGCGCATATATCGACTGGAGCAGCAGATATCTCCAGAATCGGAGGTCGCTCCGCTGTTCCAAAAGTTTCTGAGCCTCCTGGGGGCATTGCTCGGGAGCGACGTGGTGGATCCAGACAAGGGCCCATTGGCAACATCTTGCGAGCCGTCCTCCACTCCAGCCCCGGGGCTCCCACCTTCGGCGAGGAGGGTGTTGTTGCGGCGCGCGTCCGCAAGCTGGGCGCTCGAAGGGCTTGATACAAAAACGAAAGCAATCTGCAAGAGACTGAGGCTCAACCTCGCCGTCCCGGTGAGGGCCCCAATCCTTACGCAGGGCAGGGGCCGTCGTCGCCAACTGAGGGATGGAGGAGGAGTAGAAGGAACAGGCAGAAGAAAAGGAGGAGAAAGAGGAAGATGAGGAGGAGGCGGCTGGTGGTGATGATGCTGATGATGATGTTGATGATGATGCTGATGGTGATGGTGATGGTGATAAGTATGGCGGTGGTGGTGATGGTGATGATAGTGATGATGATGCTGATGCTGATGCTGGTGATGCTGATGCTGATGATGCTGGTGATGATGCTGCTGATGATGCTGATGAAGATGGTGATGATGATTATGATGGTAATGCTGATGATGATGCTGCTGCTGATGATGATGATGATGAGGAGGAGGAGGAGGAGGAGGACGAGGAGGAGGAGGAGGAGGAAGAATGCGAAGGAGCCCGTAGCCTTTCTGACTCAAGCCGTGCCGTGCCGGATCGGGCCCAGGCCGTGGTCGGGGCCTCCGGGCGCGCGCCCGATGGCCTCGGAGGAGCTCTGGACGCCCGTGCGCCTGCGGGTGCGGCGCCACGGGCCCGCGAGGGCCTTCTTCGCGCTGCCGCGCAGCGTGCGCAGCGTCGCGGTGGTGGAGGACGCCCGCAGCTGCGACGCGGCGGTGGCGGCCCTGCTCGGGCCCGGCCCGGAGGCATCGGGGCTCGACGCGTGTCGACCCTGACATTCTAGGCCTCCCACACTGGGATCCGAGCAGGTGGGGTCGAAGGATCGCTCCGCATCGCCGATGCATCGTCGACCACGTCTCGGCGATGCGGCGCGAAATCCTTCGACCCCACCGGCTCGGATCCCAGGGGGGAGGCTTCTAGACATGCTCGCGTCGTGATCAAATCAGGGCGGGGCATTCTTTCGTCGTTTTCGGCCTCTGGAGGTCCTTGCCAGGCCCAGGGGCCTGTCAAAAAACGACTCAGGATGAAAGGCCGGTGCCTGGGAAAGGGTCGGGGTTCCTGGGGACCGGGTATCGCCACAATCAGGGCATCGCATGTCTGGGTTCGAAGTGAGGTTTTCTGGCGTTCCCGTCAGTTCTCGGCGGCTCTCCAGGCTCGGGGTGCCTTCCAGCAACTGCGCCTCGCCGACAGCGATCCAGGGGCGCCAGGATCGTCCTGAACGGCCGCCGGAGATCCGAGCTGTGACCCAAAAACCAACTGAACCTCGACCTCCTCGCGCCGTACACAAAATAACGACGGGATGCATTTGCTCCTTCATTTTTTGGCTTCGGGGGCCCTCGCTGGGCCCAGGGACCGTCCAGGAAAAATGCTCGGGATGAAACGCTGGTCCTGGGCAGGGACGTCCAGACCTTTGGGGCGCCACGCCGTGAACGAATCACGACGGCGGATGTCTGTGGCGCGGGCCCGGCCCGGAGGCGGTGGGGCTCGACACGGAGTGGCTGGACTCCGCCGGGACGGTGGCGCTGCTGCAGATCGCCAGCCTCACGCGCTGCGTGCTGGTGCGGCTGCCGAGGCTGCGCGGCGCAGTGCCCGACTCGCTAGCGGCGCTGATCGCCGCGCCCTCGCCAGTGAAGTGCGGGGTGTCGATAGGCCACGACCTGCGCCTGCTCCAGGAGCAGTACGGGATCCCTCGAAGAAGACAAATCACCGAATAAGCATACGCTGTCGGAGCTCAGCGCGAAGTTCTTGGATCGGCGGTGGACCCTCCGACCTGGTGTGCTCCGCGCGCCAGGGAGGGGGTTCCAGCGCCGACCCTGGAAATCCGCGGGGAGCTCCAACAGTTTGTGTGGTTGCCGCCTCCTCTTCTTCGAATCCCGCCTGGCGGGGCCGTGGACCTGCGGGTCCCAGCCCAGCACTACGGCCACACTGGCTCGGGCATGGGCCTCGCGGCCATCTGCGAGAGCGTCCTGGGCGAGCCGCTGTGCAAGGATCGGCACCACCCAAAAATACAAATTCTTCACGCTTCGCGTATCCCCACCAGTCATACCGCCCTCTGGACTTTTCCTTGCGGGCCGCATATATATATATATATATATATATATATAAGAAATCCCCACCAGGTTCTGCGAATTTAGTTCGTTTTGTATTGTGCATGTGCAACTGCGAGCATGCTTGCAGGTGCGGTCGGCTGTCGACAGTGACGGCTGGATTCGCAAATTTACTATGTACCGCGCCCCGGACGTTGTGCCCGCTCCCTGGGCTTTTCCTTGGAGCCGCGACCCCCCAAAAAGTATCCCCACCAGTTGCGTCGCGGCTCCGCTGCTTCCCGCACTCGTGCGTTCTGCTGCCTCCGGGCTTCTCGGCTATACGGCCACCCTGGGAGTTGCAGCCTGCCAGCGCTTTCGCCTCCTGGCGTTAATTCTTTGACCGACGGTCCTCCCGGCCACCCTGGTACTCTCGCTCACGCCGACGTCCGGGGCTTCGCCTTTGCAATTCCGAATTCCACCTAGACCGGCGGTCCTTTGGCTGCGGCCACCCTGGTGCTCACGCAGTTGTCCAGGGCTCGGGTCCATGACGGTTTCCGACCCTGGTCGTCGTTTATCCCGACTTCCTGGTGCGTCCGACGCCCTGCATACTTGCACGCTGGCAGTTCGACTCCGTCTCAGTCGCCCCTGCCACCCGCCCGCCGCTGGGCCGCCGCGTGAGGCCTCGGCTAGCTGCGCTAGACGTGGCCTGCCCCCTCTGCCTTCGCTTAATTCGTCGCTGCGTAGCCCGCTTTGATCTGACTCGCCGCCGGCGCGCTCGCCCGCGGCCGCTGATTATAAAAGTACCCCCACCAGTCTCACGCCCTACATTGGACACACAATTCGGCTCTTGGCAGTCGGTTCACTTGGCTTCGGCCACAGTGGTACTCTCGCGGTTCCGTGGGTGCCTACACCCTTGCATTCAATTCACTCGCAGCTTGCAGACCCTGGCAGCCGACCACCCTGGCAGCCAGCCCATCTTTGCAGCACGTTCCATGCGTGCACCCTGGCAGCGCAGCTTCCCAGCATTTGCCGTCAGCCCCCTTCCACTCGCCGGCCTGGCCGCCGAGGTGCCGCGTGAGGCTTCGGCCCACCGCTTTAGGTTAATTCGTCTTTGCGCGGCCCGCTGTGACTGGACTCGCCGCTGGCGCTCTCGCCTGCGGCCGCTGACTAAAAAAGTATCCCCACCAGCCGGGGCAAGCCGCTCACCCTCCTCTCGGGGTGCCCCTTGCCGTTCGGGCCCTCCTCGTCTCGTTGGCGCTGCTCGCCCGTTCGTGGTCGTCGGACGCCTTGTCTCCCCTGTGCCGGGTGGGCCTCGCCGCTAGGAGTTAGGCGATGTTCTTGGCGTTCCTGGCGGCCCGCCGCCTCGTTGTCGGTGCTCTGCTTGGCACTGTCCTTGCCCCACCGCCGCGGCTCCCGCCTTCGTGCTGTCCTTGCACGCAAGGGGCTCCTTCACGTTCGTGCCCCTTGACTCCCCCTGGCGATCCGGAGTCCTCCGTTGAGCGCCTGCACGGTTCGCCCTCCTCGACTAATTACGTGGCCGTGGTCATCGTCCCCCTCGATTACGCGGACGCGGTCTTCAGGAATTCGGGCTCGAATAACCTCGCCACTTTGGCGCTGCACGCGGACCGGATCCACGTGCTGGTCTCCTACGGCATCGGCGTTTTCGGCCTGTCTTTCAGCGTCTTCTTCGCCTCTTGAGTCGCAGCGTAGGTCGCTCCTGCCCGCTTAGTGCCTAATTTAGATCTTGGCGCGGCTGCCTCGATTCTGGGCGGCGCGCGGTTGGACCGTGACGCTCGCGAACAAAAAAGCATCCCCACCAGCCCGTTCAGAAACCCTGCCCGTGAGAGCTGACGGGGAAGAGGGACGAAGAGACACAGATAGTGAAGAAGAACGGGCAACCAAGATGAACACAGAGGTCTCTGGGAGCAAAGGCTTGGCAACGGCCTTGGAGGGCCTCTTCGGGCCGTCCTTGGGGCCCGCGGGGGGGCGCCGGTTGGAGGAGGAGGAGGAGGAGGAGGAGGAGGAGGAGGAGGAGGAGGAGGAGGAGGAGGAGGAAGAGGAGGAGGAGGAGGAGGAGGAGGAGGAGGAGGAGGAGGAAGAGGAGGAGAACCGCCTCCTGGGGCCCTCGTGGGACTCTCTTGGGGCGCTCTTGGGCGCTCTTCGGGCTCTCTTGGGGCCCTCTTGGGAGCCCCGGAAGGCCTCTTGAGGTCATCTTGGAGGCGATCGATCCACGGAGGGGGGTCCTCGATTTGGGGCCCAAAATTGGGCCGATCTTGGGCGCTATTGGGGTCGTTTGGGGGGCTCTCGTGGGCCCCTTCTGAGGCTCTCGCGGGCCATCCTGGGACAACCTTGGGCTTAAAAACTTCATCGGAAGCGGGAGGACGGGGAGGTGGACAGCGTTGGTTTGTTCTAGGTGTTTGAAGGATTGGGGCCTCTGTGGGGGGGGGGTCCTGAGGGGCTCCGGGAGAATTGGGAAGTGGTTTGTGGCCATCGTCGGTCGTTTTGGAGGTATGTCGCATGCTATCTTGGACCATCTTCGGATGATTTGAGCGGCCTTGGAGGCCATCTTGGAGCATCGGAAGCCCTCTTGGAACCATCTTGGCCAAAAAATGACCTGCCGCCTCGCGAATCCCACAACAAAACCTCAGGGAGGGGAGGGGGAGGATACCCCCCCCGAAGGGAAGATGGGTTTGGAAGAGGAAAGGAAAAGTTCGTTAGGCCACTTGCGCCCAGAGGGATGGTGGGATACTATGTGCGCGTTGCCCTTCGAGCGATCAAAGATCATATCGTAGATGCTCGGTCGCGGGCGTTTTCTGGCCATTTCGTTGGGCACCCCAAGATGGAGCCGTCAGGGGGTAGGGCCCGGGCCCGTTCGCGCCCAGTTTGTGCGGATGTCTCGGGCGGTTTGCCTGTTTGGGTGGCCGACGCCCTCCGTATTCTGAACTGACTGTGGGGGTGTCTCAGGCGAGGCGCTGGCTTCGGCACCCCAAGGGGGAACCGCTTGGGGGTGTTGCATAGGTCCGTTTGCGCCCAGGTTGTGTGGATGTCTCAACGGGTTTGTTTGTGTGGCCACTGATCTTTGCGTTCGGAGCACATTGTGAGGATGTCTGTGGCGAGACGCTGGTTCCAGCATCCCAAAGGGAGACGCCAGGGGGTATCTTACTACGGGCCCGTTCCTGCCCGGGTTGTCTTACCCATAGCGCTCAGGCTTAGCCGCACGCGCTCGTACTCAGGCTCACTCACGCTCAGATCCGCTCGCATCCAGGCTCATTCACACTTAAACTACTAACCCACATTCGGGTACACTCTCATTCAGATTCGCCAGCCCTCGGACTCACTCATACGCACATTCACCCTTTCAGATTCAGTGATACTCAGAGCCACACGTAGCCGACTCATATGCAGACCCGCGCACACTCGGACCTACTCACATTCATATTAACTCACACTCAGATTCACCCACCCTCAGGTTCACCCATACTCAAATTCACTTGTGCTCAGATTCGCTCGCGCTCAGACTCAGACTCGTCAAACTTATACTCAAGCCCGCTCGCACTCAGACTTTCTCACGCTCAGACTCACTCACCCTCTGCCTCGCTCATATTCAGACGCACTCAGATTCAGACTCTCTCGTACCTAGACTCATTCACATTCAATAGCAATCACTCATGGGCTAACTCAAACCCAGATTCACTCACACTCAGATCGCTCACGCTCAGATCCATTCATAGTTTTGTTTGTTTTGTTTGTTCAATGATCCCTGGCCCTTCACGTATGCTTCCCTCGTCCGTCGTGAAACAATTCCAGAGGAGGAGGAGAACGACGACGACGACGTCACTGAAGTCGTCGTTGTCGTCGTCGTCGTCACGCCTGTCGTCTACGCGTATTCGCTCCAATCCCCAGATGGTTTCTCACCGAGACGTGACAGAAGTATAAGATGCACATATAGTGATCTCCGCGTCGAGTAGCTAAGGAGTGTAGGTGGAGCCTGGTTTGGGCGATTATGCTTGGGCCGTCCTCGAAGATCTGCCAGGTCAGGCCTCTGGTTTGGCTTGGTTTGGCCGCGCGCCCCGCTTGAGACATTATCAGCATCTGCCTGGTTTGGCTCCTGGCTGGGGCGTGGTTTCGCTCGAAACGTCCTGAACAGGTGCCTGGTTTGGACATGGCTTCGCCTGGTTTGGGCCCTGTTTCGCTTGAGACAAGACGTCCTCAACATGTGTTTGGTTTTGTTTGGTTTGGGCCCAGTTTCGCTTGAGACGGCCTCACAACTTGCCTGGCTTGGCCTGGGCGAAGCGACAATTAAGCGAAGGTTGGGAGGTTGAGTAACGTCTGTTATGGGCGCCATGCGGTCTCAACACACCGTGGGATGTATCACGATCTCTTCGACACAGAAGGCATAAGTAACAGTTAACAGACGTCGTGGTGGGGTTGGACAAACTGGAGTGATAGCACGGTGTCATGAACACCCCGTGTGGCCCACATGTGACACGACTGCGCTACAAAAAGGTGGGCGGTATTCCCAACACACTGTAAATCAACATGAACGTGCGTGGCGGCGTTCGGAGACTGCCTCTCCGAGGCTGCAGTGTTGCCTTCTGCGTCCCAAAGGAGCCCGCGCTGCGCTGCTCCGACTGGGGCGGCGCGCTTTCCCCCGAGCAGGTGAGATACGCGGCCTGCGACGCCGTGGTGGCCGTCGCGATCCTCGCGGAGCTGCACAGGGCCCACCCGGAGCCCGGCGGCCTCGGCCTCGCGTCCTGGTGCGGCAGGTTCGTGGGGCAGACGAAGCCCGATGGTCTTCAGGACGTGTGGCTGGCCTGCGGTTGGGTACTTTTGAATAGCGCGTCGCTCCGCCGGTTCTGGCCCACCACGCTTCGGCGCGACACGCTCTCCAATTCCCGGTCCCTCAGCGTCAACGTCCCGAGCTCTTCCGAGCCTCCCGCCTCGCGGAGCGCAGAGACACGCTATCCACTCGCAAGGCATAGCGTGTCGCTGGGGCCGCCGTGGCGACATGCCATCCCGAAGTTCGCGACCGTCACATCATTCGCTCGCGTTTGCCCCGTTCGGCCTCGCCAGGTGCGCGCAGCCGGTGTCGGGCCTCGTTCGCCGACTCTCGGCGGTTGGGCCCTTTCCGCCTTCTCCGCGGCCGCCCTCCTTTTTTCCACCCGCGCTAGCGCCCGCACCCGGCACGCCCTGCCGTCAGCGACCCCCGCGCCCTCGTCCGCTGGCGCCGCCGATTCGAAGTGTCGGGCCTCGTTGCGCCGCCTGCGCCGTATCGGAGGGCTTCGGTGGACGAGAACACGTTGGCGCTAACACGCGTTCTGTGGATCATCGAGAAGCCCGCGGGGCCGCGCCCGGAGCGGCGGGCCGCCCGGCGCCCGTCCGCCGCCGGCCTGGCCGCCGGCCCGACCGCGAAGTGCAGCAAGCTGTACGACGGGTGCCCGCTGCTTGGCCCCTCCGGCGAGTACCTCTACAGCGTCGGGAGGAATCGGGAGGCCCCAAACGGTGCGGTGGTGATCACGCCGCGTGGTGAGTGGGGGTTCGGGGTCACCGCGCGGCTTTTGGGAGGCGCGTCTCCGAGGATGTCTCGGGCGACTGGGGCCTCCGAAGTCCCAACAACGTGCGGTGACGGACCGCGCGGTGAGGTCTCTCGGGATTTCGAGGTCACCGCGCAGTCTGTCACCACATGGTTCTGGGACCCCCAAGAGGAAGAAGGCCAGGTGGTACCTGAACAAGGGCCTGGCGGAGGTGGTGGCGCGGGATCCCCTCTCCCTGCGGCTGCTGTCGCTCCCTGGGGCGCACTTCATGGAGCCTTTCTACATGCGCTCTGGCTCCAGCCAGTGCTCCGGCTGCGGCAGCCAGGGCAACAGCGTCCGCTTTTCGCTGCTGCCGCACGCGTTCCGCAGGCACCTGCAGGGGGGCCTCAAGGAGTACCTGCGCCACGACGTGCTGCTGCTGTGCGCGGGCTGCTTCCGCACGGCGGAGGGTGCTGCGCTCGAGCACAGGGACGCGCTGCTGAGGGGCGCGGGCATCCCTCCCGAGGGACGCCACCGGCGCAGGGACGAGGGGAGGTTGCGGCTCCGGAGGGCGGCGGGCGCGCTGCTCAACCCGCACCTCTCCGCGGAGCTGCGGGGCGAGAGCCTCGCGGCGATCCGCGCCTTTTACGGCAGGGCCGAGGGCGAGCTCGTCTCGGCGGCGGAGGTGGAGGCCGTGCGGCGGCTGGGCTGCGTGCCGCGGCTCGGCGAGCGCGAGCGCCCGAAGCCCCCGGAGCTGGCGCTGCTCGAGCAGCTCGGGCTGGCGGCGCCGGAGGGGGGCGCGCTCGACGCCGGCATGCTCTGGTGGGCCCATTTTCCACCGCCACCACCGTACGTAGGAGAGGGAGAAGGAGGAGGAGAAGGAGGAGGAGGAGGAGGAGGAGGAGGAGGAGGAGTATGAGGAGGAGGACCCCCTCCCCCTCCGACTTCTGGTGGTGGTGGTGGAAAACAGGCCCATCATGCTCGACGCTGGCGTGGTCGACTTCGTCTCGACGATCTTCGGGACGTCGTCTGTGAGTCCAACGTGTGCTTACCCCGCTCAGCTCTGCCGATGGCACGCAGCCCGTGCTGGCCCTCGTTGCTGTCGGGAAGTTTTGAATAGCGCGTCGCTCCGCCGGTTCTGGCCCACCACGCTTCGGCGCGACTCGCTCTCCAATTCCTGGTCCCTCAGCGTCAACGTCCCGAGCTCTTCCGAGCCTCCCGCCTCGCGGAGCGCAGAGACACGCTATCCACTCGCAAGGCATAGCGTGTCGCTGGGGCCGCCGTGGCGACATGCCAGGCAAAGGTTCCCGACCGTACTCAGCGGGCTCCTGTGGGCAAGCAGACGTTGGTGCTAACACGTGTCCTGAGGATCATCGATCGTGGTCTCGTGGCGGCGCGCGTTCCTGGACGCCGTGCGCCCGCGGTTCCTGCCCCCTGGCTGGGACCTGCACTGGCGGCCGGGCGCGTCGGCGCCCAGCGCCGCAGATTTCTCCGCATCGCCGTGAAGGGAAAGGGAACGACGGCAGGTGCTCGGCAACCTCTGGGCCTCTGGAGGCGTCTTCGCCGGGGGACTTCCCGAAGAGGTTCTGCCGGCTGTGGGGAGCATCCTTGGGACCTATATGACCCCCTTTCGTCGCACATTCGAGGAAGCGAGCTCGAGGAAGTTCGAAGACGGAGTAAGGCGCATGGATTAGCGACGCGTCCCTCTTCCGTACGACATCGACGCTCTCCCTTGCCAAATCAGTCGGCACTGGCTGCATGTTTCGGGGCGCACTTTCCCCGATCCGTGGATCTGGCGCTCAAGCGCCAGATCCACAGATCGTCAGCGTGTGCCCAGCGGACGGGTTCAAGACGGTCGGCTTTTGCGGATTGCCGGCCTCCTGGGGACCCTCAGCAGGCCTCATGATCGGCGCGTATCCGGTCCCAGGGAAGTGGTCGAGGCCTCCAGGAATCCACGTTGTGAACAGCATCGGGGCGTCGGGGGTCTGGGGCGGAGGAGGGGGAGGAGGAGGGGGAGCAGGAAGAGGAGGAGGAGGAGGAGGAGGAGGAGGAGGAGGAGGAGGAGGAGGAGGAGGAGGAGGAGCATCTCCCGAAGGGCGGCGGACCAGGGGCGCGAGGGCCCGAGCGTTCGGCGGCAAAAATATGAACCTCGTGGCACCCCCTGGCATTGATCCCCCAGGCCCCTGGGCGTCGTTGTTCTCTCTCGATCCGCGAGCCACAAGATCAGGGGCTTCGTTAGCGGGGCAAAGGCGCATGGGGGCACGCATCGGTCCCCAATGGCCCACTCATTGTCGCACCACCTGGCATTGACCCCCCAGGCCCCTGAGCGTCGTGGTTCTTTCCCGATCCGCGAGCCCCAGGGTCAGGGGCAACGTTAGCGGGACCACGGCCGTGGGGGGCACGCATCGGTTCCCAGTGGCCCACTCGTGGCCGGCAAGGGCTTCGCTGCCCACCCCCGCCCGGGAGCATGCGGTTTCGCTATCGGTAGCCTGACGCCGATCCATCGGCGATGTATCGACGATTCAAGCTCGATGTTTCCTCTCCCTGAGCAGGTCCATCCGTTGTCGTTCCCACTCTCGCAGGAGGAGGTGAAGGCGGAGGAGGAGGAGGAGGAGGAGGAGGAGGAGGAGGAAGAGGAGGAGGAGACGGAGGAGAGGAGGAGGAGGAGGAGGAGGAGGAGGAGAGGAGGAGAGGGAGGAGGAGGAGGAGGAGGAGGAGGAGGAGGCGGAGGAGGAGGAGGAGGAGGAGGAGGAGGTGGAGGATCGAGGATGAGGAGGAGGAGGAGAAGGAGGAGGATCGAGGAGGAGGGGAAGGAGGAGGAGGAGTATGAGGAGGAGGAGGAGCAGGAGAAGGAGGAGGAGGATCGAGGATCGAGGATGTCGAGGCTGCTGGACGCCTTTGGGGGGAGTCCTCTTGGGCTCGCATCGGGCCTCCAGAGGGAGGCGCCCAGACCTCCGCCGGAACCCCTTGGGGGAGGGGGGGGGCAGCTGGGGAACCAAGACATCCTCCAACATTCATCAGGCGATCGCAAACATGGACCAAGGGGGCGTGGATCAGCGACGGGTCCCGCTTCCATGGGGCATCGCGGAGCCCCGCCGCCGAACGAGGAGGCTCCAGCCACATTTTGGGGAGGCGCCAAATCCATGGGTCGCTAATCCATGCTTGCGCGCCCCCGAGTTCAAGGAAACACAAACATGCACTGAGGCGCGTCAGTTAGCGAAGGACCGCGCTTCCGTACAGAATCGTGGCGCTCCGTCGCCAAGTCGGGCCGCACTGGCCTCATGTTTCGGGGGGCTGTTTTCGCTGATCCATCTTCGCGAGTGCCCGAGATGGCATTTCCAATCAGTTCCCGGCGGTAGAACTGCGTCCGAGGTCCAAGACGGCTCCCGGAGGTCGAAATTCTGGGAGAACGCCGCGACTGTGACAATCACATCGTCGGAGGTCTGGTGGGGAGGGATGGGTGGCTGGGAAGGGGGAATTACGGGCATTTTCGCCTCCTTGCGATTGCACAGGGTATTAGAATTACATCTGAGGTGTATCGCATGCTTCGCTGAGCTGTTCGTGTGGAGGTGCCCGCTTTCGTCCCCTCAGCTTTCCTCCTACTTCTCCACAAAAAAAATACGGGGGAGGTGTTCGTCAAGGAATGTGCCCAGGCGGCTCCAGACCTTTTGGGATTCCATATTGTCTGGTGAGGGCGACGGTGAGATCCATGGCCAAGCCTCAACTTGCCTTATCCATTGGTTCCTTTATCTGATGCCCTCACCATCGCTCACCGTACGTCATCTGCCGCATGCAGCTGGTCTTGGCTCCGCCGCCCACTCGTTTTCCCCGGTTGTGCCCGGCCGCCTACGTGCAGCCGGGAGGCGCCCAGAAAAGTGCCTGAGTGCAGCCAGTTCGCTACGCTCTTTTCCGGTGTGACATGCGCATGTGTTTCGTGATACGGTTCCCCAGTTTGTTTAATCAGTAGTTGTTTCTTTACATTCATGTGGCTAGGAAGCGGCCTCCGGAGGCAGAACACCTAACACACATAAACATAGCTGTCAAAGTTTTTGTTAGCGTGGCCTGGATCTGAAGTAACCCTTCTTTTGCTCCTTCCCCTTTTGTCCCCCTGGGTCTGAGGAGGATGGGACGACGTGGGTTGTCTTCTGACGGCCCTGCTGCCGTGAGACGGCTTCCAGACGCCGAACACGTTGCTAAAACCGTGGCGAATCTTTTTGCGCCTCCTGGATCTGAGTGGAGCCCACCTTTTGCTATCCCACCTGCCCGTTCGTCCGCCCCGACTGGAGAGAAGGAGACGGCGCGTGCCTTTGCTCCACCCCGCGGGCCCCTGGGCCCTCGCACGCATCCCCCTGTAGACCACGTCTTTTTTGTTGGTCGACACCCCTGGCCCCGAGCGCGGCCTCGCGGGGCCCGAAAGTGGAGAGCGACTCCTTTCAATCCCGTCGTTTTTCCTTCATTTCGGCGTCACGGGCCCGCCTTGCCCCACGACCACCAAGGATGGAGTAGGGATGAGAACCTGCCCCTGGGGACGGGGTCGGGACGATTCGGGCCGCAGATTGAAAAAGCAACTCGTCGGATGCCCCCTGAGATCCGACGATGCAACAAAAATGCAACACCGCAACAAATCGCGACTGGACACCCGGACCCCATCTTTCTGCAACATGTTTCGAGCCGCATCGACCTGTGAGGGTCCCAGATCCCGAAACTGAGCGAGAGCGCCCGGCTTGAAAGATGGAGTCGCCAGGACCTCAGGCCGGGAGCCTTGAGACGGGGGTCAGTGCAAACGGGGGTCAGCCAGAGCGCCCGATCTTGCAGGACCCTGCAGGGCCAGGGGCGCACTGACCCAGGCTTGGGTGCAGGATCCTGCAGGATTTTGCAGCCTTCCCCGAGCAGGGTCTGGGCCTCTGAATCCTTTGGAGCGTTGGGCCTAGGCCACCGGCGCCGTGGCCTCTTCACAGCGGGGACTCCCTGGTTGCCCCGGCCCCCTTCCCTCCTTGTGTTTCCCTCCCCGAGCCGATGTCTCAAAAGTCCTGCGGCTCGGCTGGGCCCCCGGAGGCCGGAGGCTGGCAAGCAGCCGTCGGAGGTGCGTCTGTTCGCAGCGCGAGGGGCTCCGGGGAGACGTCCCCAGACTCTCACCCAAGACCAGGTGTTGCTTGAAGTGCACGCCGGTCGTTGAAAGCAGGTATTTTTGGATTCCCAGATCCCAATCTACTTCAAGCGCCTTCCTACTTCAAGAATCGACACGCTTTTGCTGTGTTTTGTTGTTCTCTGGGGGGGCCTGGACCCAATCAACCTAATCCGCCTTCCTACTTCATGCTTTTACCTACTTCTTCCGACCGACGTGTAGTACCCCTGGCCCAAGGTACCCCCAGGATTCTCGGGACGACCCAGACGGCCTCCAGGGCAGCCCTCACGAGGCCCAGAGGTCCCCAGGGGCTCAAAAATAGTGCGACAAGCTGAGGGCACCTTGCGCCAGGGGTACTTCTAGCAACACCCGAACCCAAAGAGGCCCCTGGACACGTCCCGACGGTTCCCTGGAGACCCTCGCAGAGGGTTCCAGCCGAAAAAACGTCCAGACATCTCCATCCTCGTCGAGAGTCGAGTCAAAAAGCTTCCAGGCCTCCGACCGGTCAGCTTTTGTTGATGTGTTTGTTATTGTTTTGCTTATGTTATTTCTCCATCTCTCTCTCTCTCTCTCTCTCTGTCTCTCTCTCCCTCTCTCTCCCTCTCCAGTTCGCGGCCCCAGAGCTCCTTCCTGACCCCTTCCCTGGGGGCAGTCTTCCCGCCGCGGATCCATTCTCGACGGCCCCGGCGCCCGAAAACGGCTTCCAGAGGCCGAGGCCGTGGTCCCCCCGCCGCCTCGATCTGCTCGAGGTATCGGGTACTCGGGCCAGGCCTCCCCAGAGCAGTGGGATAATCACCGCATTTCTTCGGTCGCGACTGGTAGCGACCGATCGGCACTCCAAATCGGTCGCGGCTGCTATTGGAATGTGAAGCAGAATCGGTAGCGACCGATCTCGTCGGTCGCGACCTGACAGTCACTCAGTGCTGGCATCAGGGGAGCAGGGCCCTCCGAGGCCCGGCCCCCCCCCCCCCGTCTCGATCTGCTCGGTGTGTTGGGTGCCCGGGCCAGGCCTTCCCTGACCCCAGACCTTCCTTGTTTTTTCCGCAACTTTTCAGCCTCTGGGTGCCCTCACCGGGCCTCGGGACCGTCAAGAAGATTACTCAGGATGAGAAGACGGTCCCAGGACCTGGTTCGAGACCGCCGGGGGTCGATCTCGTGAAGAAATCATGGCGTCGGAGGCATCCCCTGATCATTGGATGATGGATTTGATCGGTAGCGGCCGACGAGATCGGTCGCTACCGATCTGATCCAGAACCGGTCGCGATCGATCTGACGTGATCGGTCGCGAATGATTATCAAGGACTCCTAGATTGGGGCCGAGTAGTAGATGGGGTTGGAGGATCGCGCCGCATCGCCCATGCATCGGCGATGCGGCGCGATCCTCCGACCCCATCTACTCGGACCCCATGTGAAAGGCCTCCTAGATTTGGGGTGCCGATCGGTCGCTACCCGTCGCGACCGAGAGCATCGGTTTCAAATGATCCCTGCCTGCTCGGCCTATCCTTAGGCAATCCTCAGCCCAAGGAACTTCGACTCGAGCGTCCAAGCGGCCTGTCATCCCTGACCGCGCACCCCTGTTGTGCGCGCTGGCTGCATGCCGAGCGCGACCGAGCAAGTCTGGTTGCCACTGAGCTCGGCAGGCCTCGGCCGTGCCGCCGCCCCGCGAGACCGGCCGCCGCCCCCCCCCCCCGCCGCCTCCCGGGTGCAGGCGCGGCGCGGCCGACGAGGAGGAGGGCCGCTGGCAGCTCCGCGAGCCCTGCGCGCTCCTGCCGCCCGAGCGGGAGCTCCCGAGCCCTTCCTCCGTGGGGCAGCGATCGTCGATTAGACGTGAGAGTGACCTTTCGCCGGAGTGACCTTTGGTGCGGGCACAGATGGGTCCCCGGGTGACTGAACGCGACGCGCGGCAGCAGCGGCTTGCGCGCCCAGGTTTGACCTCCCGGGGAGCTCCCCGCGTCTCCCGTTCAGCCGCACACCAAAGGTCACTCTTGCCTAGGGTCACTCTTGCGCGTAGCCGAGATAGGGGGGAGAGGCAGAGGGGGGGATGTATCGATTTCGAACGGTTGATGCATCGACGACGCAGCGTCCACGAGGTCGAAGTAGGCGGATCCCAGCAGATGGGGTCGGAGGGTCGCGCCGTATCGCCGATGCATCGGCGACGCATTGGCGATGCGGCGCGATCATCGGCGATGCATCGGCGATCCTCCTCTAGGGCGCATAAAACTGCGGTCGGGAACTTTGGCTCAGCGTGTCGCCCCGCCGATCCTGCCCCACGGCGCTTCGGCGCGATCCGCCATCCACTCCCCCGCTCCCGGGCGTCGACGCCCCGAGCTTCTCCCGGCCTCCCGCCCCGCGGAGCGGAGCGACACGCCATTTGCTTGCAAGGCATACCGTGTCGCCAGGGCCGCCGCCGCGACAAGCTATGCACAAGATCCTGACCGCATGCTCGAAGAACAGAACGCGCAAGGAACATTCGGGGTCCGTTCGGATTTCTTGGATCGGCGCTAGGGCCCCCCCTGGCGCCAGCGTCTCCGGCGCTGCCCCTGGCGCGCGGAGCGCGCCAGATTCAAGAAATCCGCGCGGAGGTCCGAGAAGTTGTGTTTATGCAGTGTTCTGTTCCGGAGCCTAGGAGGTATGTTTCACCCCCTGCTCTGAGATCGCCGCTGGGGTTGTTAAGGGTATAGGGGTTAGAAGCGGATGCGAAGGTGCTAAGGGGGAGTGTATCTGGCCAGACCTGGCTTGTCAGTGGGTTACAGGTGCCCTCAGTAGGTTAGGATTATTTGATAGCTAGGTGGGCTCCGCCCACTTCGACCAAGTCTGTACCCCTCCTACACCACTCAGGGCACTTGCAAACCACTTGTAAACTAGGATCGGCCAGACATAACACACCTTAGCATCCGCTTATAACCCCCTATCCCCTCGCCCCCCCCGCTGTCATCTCCGTGGCGCTAACCGCTAACAGGCGTGAGGAGCGGGGGTGGAGAGTGGTCCACATCATCCATTTCCGAAAACTTCCGCTAGCGCTTCGGCCGAACAGGTCGCGATAGAATGCGTTGGCTTCTGGTCGCGAATTCCGGTAACTGGCGAGCCGTGGACATCTTCGAAACCTTCGCTTGGACCCCGACGTGCCGCCATTTCGTCACCTACATTCGACACCCTCCAGTCGCGACAGGGGCTTGGCACGCACAAGATCCGTTACCTGAAATTCCGGTCGCGGATGATCGGGGGGGAGGGGGCCGGCATCGTCACGATCCGCGCCTGCGCCGTGTGGGAATGGTTCAGCACGGTTTATGTCCAGAGGCATTGACACGAATCGTGACGTGACCAGGGGGGGCGGGAGGGGGGTCTGCGGAGCCAGTCACGGGCGCTGTCGCGAGTGATAAAAAACCGGTTCAAGCTCGGGCGAAAGAACTACGCACATACACCGATGCCACCCAGGCCAATCCTGTCCCGAGGATCGGTGCATCTGCCTCCCAGGTCTAGGCCAGGAGGACGTGTATGAGCCGACCACGGGCCCGGGATGGGCCTGGCGGGGAACGGTGTGTGTGTGTGTGCGTGTTCAGGAGAGGACAAAGACACACAACACACAAATAATCGTCGATTGCCCAGAAACTATGGAGAACATGGGAAGTGGAGGGCAAGACGAACATCCAGAACATGTCGACGCAATCTGGAACTCTGGGATCTGTGCCTATTTGTTGGTGTGTCCCTGGGCCCCTTGATGTGTGTGCTCTCTCGTCTCTCAGGCGGGCCGCTCCAGAGAGGGCATCGCCGTCGGGGCATCGACGGGGCGACCGCTCTTCCTCGGCGGAGGGCGGCGGAATGGCGGCGGGAGCCAGCGGAGGTACACATTGCGCCTCGTTGCGATCCGATGTGATTCGGTTTCGATGGCTTTCGATTCCGATTCGATTCGACCTCGGATTCCGATTTGGGTTCCGATTTCTTTGTTGGCGGCCTACTGGCCTGCCAAATTCCGCAGATCCGACTTCTCCGGACTCGCTGCCGATTTTCGCCGATCCGATTCATGTCGGTCGCCCATCCCATTCATCAATTCGATTCTGGGCTCTCCTGCCCAGAGAGGTTCTAAATTTGGGTGTCGACGTTTCCCCAAACCCGCCAAGCGACAAGTGGGGGCAGAGCAAATGAGCAGCTCCTCCCCCCGAAAGCGGCCCCCCAGAGATCGAAGCCAGGGCGCAGCAACGCCGGGATCGAACAACACAGCCTGCTGCATGTGTCTGGGAAGGGTGCCGCCCAGGGGCAACAGCATGGGGGGATAGGCTCGGGGCGGGAGGAGGAGGAGGAGGAGGAGGAGGAGGAGGAGGAGGAGGAGGAGGAGGAGGAGGAGGAGGAGGAGGAGGAGGCGCGCGCTCCGCGGCCTGGGCTACAGGGTGTCTCTCCTGTGTCGGGAGCTCCTCCTCCTCCTCCTCCTCCTCCTCCTTCTCCTCCTCCTCCTCGAACTGCGAGGACCAGGGAGCAATCACTACCCCGCCACCCACCGGCACCCCCGAGACCCCACACCCAGCGGGAACGCCAGAGCACGCGCCCCCGACCCCCACACCCCCCAGCAGGCCCCCAGGGAGCCCAACCGGCACGGACGACCGAAAGGATACGGAGCACGGAGCCCGAATCCTTCCAGACCGACCTTGCCAGGAGGGCCTCCCTGGGCGCTTCCCAGGGTGGCCGTCTAGAGTGGCGGGGTAAAATAGCGTGCCATATTTTAACCCCCTCGATCTTGGTCAGAAAATTACGGAGGACGGCCAGGGCCAGTAAAAACCATATCACTCGACCTTGGTCTACAAATTACGGAGGAGGGAAACGACGAGAGGAGCACAGGAGCCGGCAAGATCGATCGCGCAGTTCTTCGCCGCACGCGCGGCCACCACGATACTGTGCTCCGGGCCCCGCACGGGCTCGTTATAGCTCTCACTGGCACACGTTCTAGGAATTACGCCCCACAGTAGCCGGTAAGATCCACATCACGTGTCTTCGCTGTGCCCGCGGCCTCCTCGATATTGTACCCCGGGCCCAGCGCGGCAACCCATCCCACCGCGAAGTCTACGAAATTGGCCTTGTGGGTCTGCACCTTGATCACCTTCGTGGACTCCATGTAATGAATAGACGCCTTAGTGGGTGCTGCTTTGGGCCTGCCAGGGCGGGTCGGGATGTTGAGCTTGATGTAGAAGTTGGTACTGTTCCCACCCATTGTATCACCCCACCACACAGTAGACGGAGGCTTCTTGAAGTTCTCCGTCTTCCCCTTCATGTCAAGGCGCTGCTGTTCAAGTAGCTGTACCACAACCTGGGGGCCCTTCTTGCCATGTAGGCCCTGGATGCGCTGGCACAGCTCCTGCGCAGAGGGCATCGGCTTCTCGAAGCGAACTCTCATCTGGGCCGTCCCGCCAGTCTTCCCGGTGAAGGCCTGCTGGAAGCCCTTCGTGACCATCTGGATGAAGGCGTCTGCGCCCTGCCGGAGCGCCTTCTGGTCCTGGTACAGCGGAGGAGGACGGCCTTCACTCCCCTGTTCGGCGTCCTGCTTTGCCCCCGCCTGGGAAGCATGGGGTTTAGCTTTGAGCTTGTCCGACGTGACCCTGATGACATCCAAGAGCTTGCTCACGGCCGCTGCTGGCGATGGCGGCTGGGCATCGATCTCGTCCAGGGTGGTGTAGACGTTGGCCACCAACTCATCGAGGAGGATCTGGTTCGGGTCCTGCTCGTCCTCTGCCGGCGGAGTCGGTGAGCACGGACGCTCTGGCGGCGAGGCCGCCCGCGGAGGGGTTGCCATGTGTTTCGGCTTGCACGCCGCGAGCCCCACCTTGCTCTCCATCGACAGTTCTACCGGAGGGCCGTCCGACCCGGCTGCACTCGCCCCTGGGCGCCTCCAAGGGGGGAGATCCGACGGCTGTTGCGGGCCCCAGACCGTCGGGCTCCAGCGCGACCTGCGCGGCGTAGGGCTCCTGCGCGGCCGCGACCGGCGTGAGCGGCTCCTTGAACCCCTGGGGGCCCGGTCACCTCGACGAGGTCTGTACCGCTCACGCGGAATGGCAGACCTCGATCGCGAATCCCTGCGGCGCCCCATTGCGCCCCGGCGCGGCAGGGGCCCCGGCGCGGAGGGGGGAAGGGAAAGAAGGGGGCGCCCGGACCGGGGGGACCCCTTGACTCCTCCTTGACCCCTCCTCCTCCTCCTCCTCCTCCTCCTCCTCCTCCTCCTCCTCCTCCTCCTCCTCCTCCTGCCTCCTCCCCCACTCCTCCCCCCTCTCCCCTGCTCCCTTCTCCCTCCCGCCTCCCTCCTCTTTTTCTCTCTCCTTCACTTGCTGCCGCCTTCTCCTCCCGCAGCCAGGGCCAGGGGCGCCGATCCGAGGGACGAACAGCGACACCACCACCACCAGGGGTGCCACCTCCAGCGTGGGGGTTCACGATGCCTCCCCGATTCGGGGACAGGAGGTGTCTCGAGCGGGGAGGGGGCACCCCACCACCAGGAAGGCCCCCCCATCCTAGCTCCTCGCGTTGGCGGTGGTGCTGCTTTGAACGGGGGGGGGGCGTTGGGCTTAGGCCGTGAAACCTCGACCCCTATTTGCCCATGCATCGCCGATCGGTGCGAGGGTGCACCACCCCGCACAGGATCGTGCGGATTCGCAGTTGGGGGCCCGCTGCTGACTTGTCAGCGATGTATCGCCGATTCCAGGCCGACGTTCCACCCCCCGTCTCCTCGTGTCGTGACCATGCTCGGTCTCCGGGGGCCCTTACTCGGTCCCAGGACCGCTGACAAGACCGGATCAGGATGAGCAGCCGGTCCCCAGCAAGGCGTCGGGACTTCAGGCGCAGGCTGCGAACAGACAGTGCCTCCTTGGGCGTGGGCCTTGCTTCGGCCCCCCCCTGCACATCGCCCCCCTCCCCTGGGCCACGATCCCTCGCAACAAACTGAATGTGCGTCCGCGCGCCCGATGCGACGATGTTGGGGGCCCAAAGAATATACACCACCACCACGTCGTTTCCTCCTGTCTCCTCTTTCCAGCGAGAGGGAGGGGGGGAGGGAGGTGGTGGTGGTGTATATTTTTGGGCCCCCCAGATGTCCTGGAACAGACGCGCAGGCCCGCGCGAACTCTCGGACCCTCCCTCCCTTTTGTGCCCCCTCAGCGGCGTGCGGTCCCCCCCCAGAAAGGAGCGGGCCGCGCTGGACTGGGCGGGCGCGGCCGTGGAGCGGCAGCGCGGGCGGCTCGCCGGCGGCGCGCCCGAGGAGGACGAGCGCCTGCTGGCCCAGGTCGGGCAGCGGCAGGAAAAAGGCACGGCGTGCGTCAATGCTTACCAACCAATCGGGACCGAACCCACCGCGCCCTTGGAGGGCGTCGAGGGCCGTGGCCCGCGGCGGGTCCTGGACGGGCGCACGTCGAGCCCCTTGTTGGGCACTGGCAGAGGCGAGATGAACCAGCGTATGCCAACGTGTCCGCACGCGCCGTCGATTTTTGTTGCGCGCGCGCGAGCTGGCGTTCGAAAAGTTCGAGGTTCTCTGGCGTTTTCGTTGGTCCTCGGCGGCTTCTCGGGCTCGGGGTGCCTTCCAGCAGCAGCGCCTCTCCTTTGGGGGGTGCCTGGAGCGTCCCGAGCGGCCGCCGGCGAGCCGAGTGATGGCTTAACGATAACTGAAGCTTGACCCCCTCGCGCCGTGAAACAACTCACGACGGGCGGTTTTCGTTCCGTTTTCGGCCTCTGGGATTTTGGGGGCCTTCGTCGGGCTTGGGGACCGTCAAAAACGACTCGGGATGAAAAGCCAGTCCCGCGGGAGGTGTCGAAACCTCTGGGGGGCCGTGGCCACGTTGTGAAACAGCCGCGACGTCCAGGATGTGGGGCTCGAGACCCATACGGGTCCCAGGAATTTCTGGGCCCTCCCCAGGGCCGGCTTTTCGTCCCGCGTCGCTTTTGAAGGCCCCGGCCTGGCAAGGGTCCCCCAGTGCCCGAAAGCTACGGAACAAATCCGCATGTGTTTCCCGAAATGGATATAGGGAGTGTTAAGGTGCTGGCAGGCTCTTGTGCGCCTTATGAAATATGAGATATTCCGCGCGCGGATCTGAGAATTTCGCGCGAGGCTTGCGCGACTCCCTGACGTCGCGCGAAATCTGCAACCGCTGCGCAAAACCAGCGATTTGTAGCCACTGGCGCTCGACAGGGGATGAAATGCGAGGGATGAGGAGAAAGATCATCATCAGCAGCAGCAGCAGCAGCAGCGAGGAGAGGAGGGAATACGAAGATGAGGAAGAGCAGAAGCAGCGAGGACGAGGAACATGCATCGCACCACCATGAAAGTCAACGCGTATTGCATGGCGCGTGCACGTCGGCAGCAAACGTGTACGCTATACGTGACCAGTATAACATATTCACAATCCGGTAATACGTACGAAGAGGATGTCCAGAACCAAAGCGACAACGGCATGGTCGCGCGATATTGTGAAACCGCTGTGCGAGATTTAACACCGTGCGAATGGTGGCGCAATCGCGCGTTTCCCCCGACCAGGACAAGCCAACCGACACATCAGATGGTCCAAGAAGGCGGAGTTGTGAGAGCGTTCAGATGCCATTTGCGCGATGCCGCTACCGGGTTCCAAATCTAGCCAAGACGTTGCGAGCCTTCAGCCTCATCTCTGTTGTTCCTTGCGCGTCAGGCCTGTCAGGGCTTGCCCGTATTCCATCCCATCGAGATTTTTGCTAAAGCCATCGGCCGTATCCTCTGCCGTTGGCATTCTGGCGCAAGCCATCGGCCTTTGGGTGTTCTTGGGGCGCTCTTTGAGCCGCGCGGGACGTCCAAAGTCGCGCGCGGCGTGCGGGCGAGCCCTCTGCTTGACGTCGCGTCTGCTGGCAGAGCAACTGCTGTGCTCGCGGTCTGCCATGTCGGCGCGAGGGCGCACTTGCGGCCGTTGCTGCATTTTCGTGTAGATCGAGGCGAAATCGCGCGGGTCTCAGGGATACTGCGCCCTGCGCGTTGGCCGCGCGAAATCTTAGATTCTTTCAAAGGGTACACGTCCCGGTTCTCTTCCCAACGCCTCAACAGTAGGAAGAAAGGATGTCACCGTCAATCGCGTCGTCTTTCAAGCTGTGCGCGTGATTCGTTCCCTGTTTGTGCAAAAGTCGGGTGCTTTTCGCAGTGACACACTGGTTGTGTGAAGTCCGACTGGCGTGACGCTAGTATTGCTTTTGTTCTCCTGAGTTCAGGCGACGCCACGCATCCGATGCTTCGAAAAATTGAAGGCGGAACTTTTTACACCGCTTTCGGAAGGGCCCTCGCCAGGCCCCTGGACTGTCAGAAACTGCTCAGGATGACAAGCCGGCCACGGGGAAAGGGCGGGGACCTGGGGGGACCCATCAGATGTGGGCGACGCCAAAACGTCGGACGATTCATATTTGATCGTTGATCGGATTCGGCCCCTTGGGGCAGTCTCCGAGCCTCGACGGACGGTTCGGGCTCGGGATGAAAAGCCGGCCCCAGGAAGGGTATCGGGATCCCCGGGGGCCCGTGCCGCGAACAAATGGCGGCGCGCGGCGAGAGAGGCTACGGCGGGTTGACGCAGCGGCCAGCCAGCGCGTGGCGTTCAAGCTTGAACGCCGCCAGCGGGCCCGAACCAGCTGGCACCGAACGAATCTGCGCGATCGTCAGGCCGCGATCGCTCGGGCTGAACGCTCCACGCGGCGTCACAAGCCAACGCCGAAGTCATCGCGACGTGAGCTTGCCGTGCGTGCGCCGATCCGGGCCACCCAGTCCCGACGTCGCGGTTTTTTCACGGCGCGGACTCTCGGACGTCTCGAATCGGTGCCCAGGGCGGGCTTTCCAGCCTGCTTCAGTTTTTTGACGGCCCCGGGTCCTGGCGAAAGCCCCCAGGGTTCGAACATTGGGGAAAAACAGTGCGTCGTGATTTTTTTCCGCCGCAGCGGGAGGAAACGACTGAACGCTGATTTCCATCAACCCATGGGGCAACATGGGAAATGCAGAGGTACATGTGAATCCTGGGCAGGTGGAAAAATCAAGACGGATCCCCAAGATTGTGCCGACTGGCTTGTGTCTCCCTGGGCCCTGCTACTCAGCGCATGTGGTCATCGTCCTCCTCCCCCCTGCAGACGGCCGGCGCCGGGACCCTCGGGCCCGCGGGCCGCGACGCGGTGCGGGTGAGGCCGGCGGCGCGCAGAAGCTAAGACCTCCAGCGGCTTGGTGTTTGGAGCCCGGGGTTGGGCGGGGCCGTTTGTTTAGGCCTCCCAGATGTGGTCCGAGTAGATGGGGTCGGAGGATCGCGCCGAATCGACGATGCGGCTCGATGCGGAACCCGATTTTCTCCACGCCGACGTCGCCGATGCGTCACCGACGTCGGCGATGCATCGCCGATGCATTGGCAACGCGGCGCGATCCTCCGACCCTATCTGGTTGGACCCAATCTAGCAGGCCTCTCGTTTGGGAGTCTCTTATGCCGTCTGTGGACCCTCTTGAGGTCCTGGTGTCATCTTGGCTGTCTGGGGGGCCGTCTTGGGGGCCACCTTCGCCGTCCGGAGGCGGAAGAAGATGCGGGAAGGCAAGCTTTGATATTCGAAATTATAGACAACATACTACATAACACACAAGCTGGTTTCTCGGATTGGCGCTGGGTTTCCCCCTGGCGGCGCTTCCAGCGCCGCCCTTGGCGCGCTCCGCGCGCCAGGGAGGGGGTTCCAGCGCCGATCCAAGAAATCCGCGCGGACCTGCGACAGTTTATCTTGATGCATGTGTTCGCTCCTCCGGAAAAGCAGCCTCCTTGGAGAGGGGTGGGGAGCTTGGGTGCCATCGGGTTGAGAAATTCAATCGGCCAGGAGTCTGGGGACCCAGGCCCCCCCTCGCGTTGTGAACGAATCACGGCCTGAGCTTCTTGGGGCCATTGTCGGCCTCCTCCGAGGACTCCATTGCCATGTCCAGGGGCCATGAAACGGCGGTCACCTGGGAAGGGGCCGCGGTGGTTCCGCGGTCCACGTTCTTGGAGCAATAATCAGGGCGCCGGAGGTCTTGAAGCGGGGCGGGGCGGAACGGGGGCGGGTGGCGGCCTTCTGACCCTCGCCCCTTGGATGGGGCCCCTTAGATGTTCGTTGTGGTGGCCTTCCGGAGGCCCACCACATGGACCTGTTCGACTCAAGGTCGGCTCAAGTCGACGGATGTTCGACGCAGCATCGACGCATGAGTGGAGCGAGTGGCTCCAGGAAGGTCCCCAGAGCGAGCATCTCTGAAGTCTGCCCCTGCCTGCTAGGAAGGCTCTCTCGGAGTCCTGGAAGGGGCCGATCCCTCCCAGGGGGCCCCTCCTCCCTGCCTCTTCGTGGGAGGCCGCCCCCGCCCTGGCCCCCCTGTTTCTGCGTGCCGCCAGCCAGGCTGGACGAGAAGCGCGTGCTCTCGGACATCCGGGGAGGGCCCACATCCACAGAAGGGAAGGAGGGTGAGGGCGAGTAGGCGGAGGAAGCAGGTGACCAGGTGGAAGAGGAGGAGGAGGAGGAGGAGGAGGAGGGCGATAAGCGCGGAGGAGGTAGGGGAGAATGAGGAGGGCGTAGGTGAGGAGGAGGAGGAGGAGGCGGGGGCGGAGGTGGGAGGTGGGTCCGGGCCCCAGTTGGCGCGGTCTGCTATAGGAAAGCCGCCTGTGCCTGTGCCATGTCGTGTTTTCGTTCAAGACGAAACTCAACAGACCAATTCTCGTATGGTGAAAGGCATGACGGCGGGGATGTTTCTGCCGCGCGTCGGGTCCCTGGACGATCGACTCGTGAGCAGGTTGCCAGAAGTATACTCCAAGGTGCCCCAGCTTTCCCGCCATGTTTCCGTTGGCCTCGTGAGGGATGCTTCCTGGAGGCCACCCGAGCCTCCCTGGAAAAAGCTGGGCTCACCTTTGGCCAGGGGCACCTCTGTCAACACCCGGACCGAGGATCCACGTGAGGATGCAGCTCGAGGGAGGCTGGAAGGTAATCCTGGGCCCTGCCTTTTCTGGGTGTTGGTCTGGGCGGGGCCGTCTTCATGGTCTGATCCGGCTCAATATGGCTTCATCTAGCCAAAATCCTTGACCTGATACGGTTCACAGCGGGGGCACCACATGCCAACGGGTGCCCGGCGATTTCTGCTCACTAGGGGGCCGCAGAGCCCTGGGGCACCTTGCGAAGCTCAGAGTCGACAAGGCACGTGCCCCCCAGATGTCTCATAGCAAGATTGCTTCTCGTGTGTTGCATCGGCAGCAGAGCAAACGTGCACGCGCACGTGAATCCACATGAGTCTCGAGAGAGCGCACCGCGCGAGCGCTCGTGAAACGAGGGCGGCCTCGCGAACCCGGGGCACGTCCGTGTACGTGGCTGAGCGCGTTGCAGAGCGCCCTGGTCTGCTGCAGGCCTCTTGGGCGACGGGAGCGGGAGGAGGAGGAGGAGGAGGAGGAGGAGGAGGAGGAGGAGGAGGAGGAGGAGACGGAGGAGAAGGAGGAGGAGGACGAGGAGGAGGTGGGGGCCAGCGGAGTGCGGAGCCACCCAGACTCAGATTCGACCTCGCCATATCTGGGGGCCTGCGATCTGCGAAACTGTCGCCACTTTCGAGGGCTGCTGGGTGGGCCAACGGAGTGCGGAACCACTCATATTCAGATTCGACTTCGCCATCTTTGGGGGGGCTGCGATCTGCGAAATTGTCGCCACTTTCGAGGGCTGCTGGGGGGGCCAGCGGAGTGGGGTCCCACCCAGATTCAGATTAGACCTCGCCATCCCTGGGGGGCTGCGATCTGCGAACTTGTCGCCACTTTCGAGGGATGCTCGGGGGGCCAGCGGAGCGCGCAACCACCCAGACTCATATTTGACCTCGTCATCCCTGGGGGGGCTGCGATCTGCGAAACCGTCGCCACTTTTGAGGGTTGCTGGGGGTCCAGCAGAATGGGGTCCCACCCAGACTCCGAGTAGACCTCGCCATCCCTGGGGGGCTACGATCCAAGCTGTCGCCACTTCCGAGGGCTGCTGCGGGGTCCAGCGAGTGACGTCCTACACAGATTCAGACTAGACCTCGCCATCCCTGGGGGGCTGCGATCTGCGCCACCGTCGCGGGCAGCCCGCAGACCTGGTGGCGTGCCTTCGAGCGTATAGCTCCCGCATTGAGAAGTGTAGGAAGGAAGCAGGGAAGCTGGCCGGCGAGCTAGGCCTCGCTCGCTTCTGGCACGAACTATAAGCACGTTTAGTCCTGTGGTCGAGGGCCGCAGCGTCATGGCGCAGGCAGCGCTGCATGTTTAGCGTACGACCGGCAAAAGCAACACTCGTCGGTCTCTTCCCGTCACTTTCATCGTCGTCCTCTGCCCTCTGCCACCTTCCTTCTGCTGCTGCCGCGCTGACGGTTCGGATCCCCGCGCGCCCTTGTCATGCCCTCCGTTCCCGCCCCCATGTCCTCCTCAAGCCTGGGCCCTCTCTCCTCGTCCTTCTGTTGTTGTCCTGTGAATCGTGCCACGTGAGCGCACTCTATGTAGCTTGCGCAACCTATAACGGCGCCTGCGCTGTCACTGTCCTGGCAAATTTGGGCCAACTCCTCTTAAATGGGTTGGGTGCTTCGTTGGGTAAATAAATGCCTCTGCGGGCCTTCCCGGAGGTCCTCTTGGAGGCCTCTTGGGCCGTCTTGGGTCATCTTAGAGCCATCTTGGGCCGTCTTGGTGGGCTCCTGGCCCGTCTGGCGCCGTCGGAAGCCGTCTTGGGGGCCTCTCTGGGCCGACTTGGGGCCGTCTTGGGGTGCTCCAGGGCCGTTTGGGAGGCTTCCTGGGGCGTCTTGCAGGCCTCTTGGGCCGTCTTTGGGCTCTTTTGGGGCCGTCTTGGGGGCCTCTTGGGCAGTCCTGAGGCCATGTTGGAGGCCTCTTGGGCGCTCTGAGGGCGATTCTGGGGGCCTCTTGGGCCGTCGTGAGCCGTCGGAGGACCGAAGAAGATCACATATGAACATCTTTCAAAAGCTCGAGGCAAGTCAATGATTTTGGCCTTTTCGGGCTCTCCTGGAGGACCTTTCGGAGGCTTCTTGGTCCGTCATGGAGGCCTCTTGGGCACCTCTCGTGCCGTCTTGCGCCGTCTTGGAGGCTTCTTGGGCGGATTTGGAAGTATCTTGGACCCTCACGTGCCGTCTTGGAGGCCATCTTGGCCATCTTGGAGGCACCTTGGAGGCCAGCTTGGGCCATCTTGGAGCCGTCTGGAACAGGAAAAACCTTCGCAACCACCTCTTATGGTTCCTTCCGGGTGGCTGGCGGGCTGGGCCAGAGCCCCAGGGGAGAATTTTTGTGGGGGGGAAATGCGACAAAAACCAAAACCGAAAGGGTCCAGCACGCAGGGCGCCCCTGTGGCAAGCCAACAGGGGGCGGCGGATCGAAGGGCCTTCGAAACATCCAGACACCGTGCCTGGATTGTGGGTTTGAGGCCATTTGAGGCCACTTAGGTGGCTGATTGTGGTCTCGTGTGAAGCCTCTCGGGGATGTCTTGGACTCAGGTTTTGGGTCTCTTGGGGCCCTCTTGGGGGGTCTTGGGGGTTCGGGGGGGCCTTCTTGGAGCTCCCCGGGGACCTCTTGGCGCCTCTTGGGGGTTTCTTGGGGCAACCTGGGGGCGTTTTGGGGCCGAAGGCTCGAAATTTCAAGTCGGGTTCCCCGCGGACATGAATGGAACCATTTTTGCTTTTTGGGGCCCTCTTGGGGCGCCTCTTGGAGGCCGCTTTGGGTTGTCTTGGTGGCATCTGGGGTCAGATTCCTGGTTTTGGGGTCCCCGGGGAGAGGGGTTACAAGCCAGTCGTTGAAAGTAGGTATTCTTGGATGCGCAAATCCTAAATCTACTTTAGGCGCCTTCCTACTTCAAGAGTCGAGCGGTTGTCCTTCTTTCCTCCTCTTCAGGGGGCGGGTGGAAGCCCAATCTACTTCCAACGCCGTCCTACTTCATGTTTCAACCCACTTCTTCCGACCGGCGTGTATCTGAGGGGGGAGAATCTTACACGCTTGGAGACCCACGGGGAACGGCTCCCAGAAGCCAAGAACCGTCCCAAACCGACCGCCTCTGCTTCTGCTTGGCGTCGCCCGGATCTGCGGGCCAGGCTGGCTCTATGGCGTTGCGACGAGGAAGACGAGCCTCGCAGGACCGGGGGGAAGAACAGCGGCACCACCACCACCAGGGGCGCCACTTCGGGCAAGGAGGTCCACAATGCCGATGCTTCCCCGAGCCAGGAACAGGGGATGTTGCGAGCGGAGAGGGAGGACCACACCATCAGAAAGAGCACGTTCTGTGGGCGCTTGGAGGGGTGGGTGGGTTTGGAACTGCTGGACCCCCCCCCTCCCTGGATTGCGGGGGGGGGTTCGACCCCCCCCCTTCTCCGTTGTTCAAACGCAAAGACCTGATCGCATCGATGACGACAGCGACTGGCACAGAAGCCACCGACCGACAGAGCATTGCGGACATCTTTGCCACTTTCTACGAGCAGCTGTACAAGACCCAAAAAGCAACAGAGTCAGCAACGAGACAACCGCAGCGACTCCCCAGATACCACCGTTCACAACTGAAGAGCTTCGCCGTGCCATCAAGCAGTTAAAGAACGGCAAATGCAGCGACACCGCGGGAATCACAGCGGAACTTTTGAAGGCAGGCGGGGAAGTTGTGGAACGACATTTACTCCAACTCTACAACGACATCATCAAACCAGACCACCTACCACCCGAGCAGTGGAAGAAGACGACGATCACGGTGATTTACAAGTCCGGCGACCCAAAGTTACCACAGAACTACAGGCCGATTGCTATCATTCCACTACTCTACAAGCTTATGTCACGCCTCCTCTGCAATCGGCTTGAAAAGGCATTTGATTCGCAGCAAAGCGTCGATCAGGCTGGGTTCAGGCGAGGCTTCAGCACCGAGGACCACCTCTTCACCACGACAATGCTACATGAGAAGTCGTTCGCGTGGCAGTTACCCCTGTGGGCAGCAGCAATCGACTTCAAGAAAGCATTTGATTGCGTCGACCACGACAAACTTTGGAAAACTCTGCGACAACAGCACATACCAGACAACTACATCGACTTCTTACAGCGCCTGTACGACGACCAGACGGCCACTGTACGAACCGATACTAACAGCAGAAGTTTTTCACTCCAAAGGGGGGTGAAACAGGAAGACCCGCTGAGTTCATTCTTGTTCGATGCGCTCTTGGAGTACGTCTTCAGGCAGCTGAAGCCAAGCTGGCACCGCAGGAAGTTTGGCATCAAGTTGGGTTTTTCCCCACGGACCAGCATCACAAATTTGCGCTTCGCAGACGACATTCTTCTATACGCCCCGAATTTGCGACAGCTCACATGTCTACTGCGAGACTTGAGGGAAGAGGCGTCCAACTGTGGACTTGCACTGCACCCAGACAAAACTAAGATACTGACGAACATAAGC